TATACTTGCTTCAAAAGATTGTTCCATTACATTACATCTCAAAAAGAAAGTTTTAAACCTCACATGAGTCTTACAAAAATATCAAAAAGAAACTTCTAATATTCTAGGATAGCCAAAAGTCTTCAAATGTTTCAGGTTCGACATCTCCAGCTATGAGTTCCTCTTCGTCACCTGGCATGATACGCCGTGAGCTTTGAATGCCTAGTAAACACACGCACACACCCTACCCTTTTTTCCCAGTCCAATACACAATCACAAAATATAGCATCAAGTAGTAAAGCATAATATTCCAATAAATAAATCAATAAATAAATAAATAGTTAAGTTAGATGTCAGTAAACTAGAAATCCCCCAAAGAGATTCCGTCCTCCCAACCACAAGAATCGAATGCGGATTATTCGGTATGCCCCCTCTTTTGCTGCTTTGTTGCAGAACTAACCTCGGATGCCTACCAACAATTATATACCGTGTAGCGCCAACCGCAGGGCCTCAAAAGAGACGGTAAAAATAGGGCCTTTCCCGAATCCCTCCTTACACCAAACTACCTAGAGTCTGAATACAACCGCTCCGTTCAAGGGTTCCGAAAACCACTTGCGCAAGACTTTAACTTTTAAATAGGGAACGCATCCCAACATACCATATACCACATATTCTCATCTTTTCATTACTCAAATGTTCGAAAAACCCAATACCCACCCAATTAGGTTTCCCGTTGAATTAAGTGTTTTAAAACAAGGTTAGTTCAATATATAAAACATTAATATCCATATAAGCATGCATTCTTAAGACGAGAAAGGTAAATAACATAACCACAACACATATATTATCAGGTCAAGACATGATTATAAGCTACAACAATCTCATGAACTCAAAGGTACAAAACATCCATACCTAACAAAATTTCCAAAGTTAGCATCGCATAAAGATTAAAATGAAAGAGCTATTTTAGATCCTTTATCGGGCCTGGCCTTCCTATGATTTGTAGAGGATTCAATCTAGTTTCTAGAATATTTTTTGGAATTGGGGTTGCTCTTCCAGATTCTAAGTTATTTAGAAGATACTTCAGCGCTGTCCAGGGTCTGTCCAGAATCTGCCCAGATCTGTCGACTGTTACGAAAACTTGATTTTCTTGCAAACCGCTCAATGTTTTTCAATGAAACCAATTTTAGTTGAAAGATAAATTCTAAAGGAAGGTTTTGACATAAAATATAGGTTCAGAATATTTTTTTACATTTTTCTGGAATTTTCGAAAGTTGGCTTCAAAAACAGGTTCTAAGGTAGAATGCCCAAATTAAAAAGATTTATGAAAAGGGGGTTCCACCAAGGGAAAATTTCATTTCTTTTGTGAAGAAAATATGCTAAATATCACATGTTTAACTCAGAAAATTTGTTTGAAAAAGTGTCCTTGAAAAGTTGAGAGATTTGTACAAAAAGAAGATGGTTTTGTGCCAAAATGAGGAAAATACAAGAGAGATGGAAACAATACTCAAATCTCGGTATTTTTAACATAAGAACATGATAATAACAGATTTGAAACATCACTTAAAATCTTTAAAAGTACGTGCATTAGAAAAGAAAATGAAGAGAAGGTTGTGTTGGTGGCTTACCTCTAGCTTTGCACAAGAAACTCTCTTCTTCTTCCCTCTCCTCCTCTAGACTTCTCTTCCTTGCTCTCCTCCCTCTCTCTAACCAAAATGTGTGTGTGAGTGAGTGTGTTGTGTGTATGTTTGCAAGCTAGGAAGGGTGTGGTATATATAGGCAAATTTGGGGTAAAAGGACATAAAAGCCCTTTAGTTGAAAATGGATGGGAAATGTGGAAGAGGGTTATATACAACAAATATAAAATGGAGGTTGGAAGCTGGCTGCCATCTGTTAGTACTAGCAGCAACCATTCAACAATATGGAAATAAATCATAACTACTGATAAGCAAAGTAATAGTTTACATCAGTTCTATTTAAACAATTATCAGCTAAAAGTGGGAGATGGAAGAAGAATTACCTTTTGGACTGATAGATGATGTCAACAACTTTCCTTGAAGAATGAGTTTCCAAGCCTTTACAAATTATCTACAGAGAAAAGTGATACATTGAGAGATATTTGTGGTAGGAAAGATGCAATTGGTGTTTGGAACCTATCTTTCAGAAGAAATTTGTATGAGTGGGAGGTGTTGGAACTACAAGACCTACTCAACCATCTAGTAGCAGGCCCTATGTTAAGCCCAAAACAGATAAACAGGCCTGTTTGGTTAGCATCTAAATCAGGTGAGTATTCTGTAGCAGCAATGTACAAGTTTGTTATTGGCAATCTTGGTCCATCCCTCAAAATTAGTAAATTGGTCTGGTTAAAGTATATTCCTCCTAAGGTTCAAGCTTTTGGATGGTTAGCTTGGAAAAAAAGAATTAAGACATTGGAGTTCTTACAAAGAGTGGGTGTGTTAAATGTGAATGGTTCTAATCTTTGTGTCTTTTGTAGGACTAATATTGAATCTGCAAATCATGTCTTAGTTGCTGTCCCTTTGTGTGGAGTGTATGGGCTGATATGCTGAATTGGTGGGGGATGCAAGGGACACTACCAGGCTCTGTGGACCAGTTGCTATTATGGTGGGTAGGAGGGAAGATGACTAAGCTGGAAAAGGAAAATTTGGAGTGTTATTCCACTGGCTGTATTGTGGTCAATTTGGAAACTTAGAAATGATTGTATTTTCAACTCTTCTATTCTAAACAAGGGTGAGTTGTGTGAATTGATCAAGACCAGGATAGGCCTATGGTTGAGTCCACACCTGAAGAACTTTAATTTTTCAATTAATGATTTTGTCTTTTATCTGAATCAGATTAGGTTGTTCCTGGGAGGAGCTTTGGTGTTTTGAGTCATCTTAAGCTTGCTTATAGGATGCTTTGAGTTAGGAGCTCCTATCTGTTGGTGTTCTGATGTGGTGTAGCTAGCTCTGCTTATGCTTTGATGGTGTTTTGTTTGTTTGTTGGTCTCTCACCAACTTGGGGCTTTGCTAGCAGATTATCGGATAGTCCTCATAGTGCCAACTTAGTTGGGATGGTGCTGGCCTATTGTGATGCTCTTTGCACTTCCTCCTATCTGTTGATGTAATCCTTTGATTGTACATTTCTTTTCATCAATGGAATTTTCTTTGGCTGATCAAAAAAAAAAAATTTAATATATGAAATATTTTTAGTTTTGAATTTTTTGATTTAATGGATTAGTTTAATAAAGATACCAAAGGTGTCGCTATGTTTTACTTTTGAAAAAATAAAACTAATTTAGCGAAAATAAAAAAATATCAAAAAAAATTATTTACACTCTCCCAAAAGATAAAATTATATAAAAATGATGTGCTTTTAAATTTTTTTCTCCAATTTAATTTTAGTTTCTTAGAAAAAAAAATTAAAAATAAATTCTGAAAATCAAACAAAATAGAACTTTATAACCAAAAAAGTTCCAACATTATTCATTAAAAAAAAAAACCATTATATTTTAAACAACATATAAGTTAACCAATACAAAATAAGTTGTATGACGACTTTACCCTTCAAATGGAGCAACAATGTCTTCAATTGTCCTTATCTAGAGCGAGATTCGAAATTCATGATCAAATATATCACAATTGAAAAGTCATGGATCAAAAAGACACGTCCCAAACTATAAGGACTATTAATATAATTTGTCTATATATATATATATATATGGGTATTCACAAGCGTGTCCTTATGGGCATAATATTTTACAAGGGTTGCTATTAACACCTATATTAATTCTTTGGAACCCCCATTTACACTCGAGTATAACTTCGAAAGGATTTTGACTGATCATTATTCCCATCATACAACGCCTGAAGTGGTAGAGGGGGTGTAATAAGTAAAGGTAGCCTAATCTTTCCTTCCAAACAGCAAGTTCCGAATAAAGGGCGCTTCATAGATGATTTTGTCAATTTTTCATCCATCCAATGTAAGGCTAACAAAAAGGACATAATACATCCATCTTGCCAAGAGAATGACGACATGAATTTATATGTGCTCGAGTACCAACCATTGGACTCATAGGCATATCCTCTAATTCCTCATTAGTACATAGATCCTCTTGAAGGGAAGGAGTTGTAAGAGTAGGCCTACAAATATTGGTTCTGTGTAAATTAAAATAGAATGGTAATAGTAGGAGTATGTATTTAAAGAATTTAACACAATCTTTTACCAATTCCTTTGTGGAGCTAAAGATGTGCTTGGCATTGAGAACGAACATGTGGAAGGATGTGCAACCATTGTTCGTTTTTGCGCCGACTGAGTGTCCTAAGTTGCCTTTGTTCCTAGTTCCAAGCAAGCACGACTACGACAACACAGTATTAAAGAAGTTTGTCTCGGTTGAATACATTCTCTTGATTTCTCCCGTTCTCGCCGTGCACGTTGGGCCAATGTAGCTTTTGATATAACATTGTTATTGTGTGCCTAAAATGTGAATATTATATCATTGATACCTAAAATACAAATATTATCGTATACTATTTTATTTCTTTTTCTTCCTGCCTTGTGATAATTTTAAGAATATTTTTACATTTTCTTTGTCTTACTTCCTTTTCCATTTTGCTTCATTTTCCCTCTTCATGCCTTGTGATATAACAATTTATTTTTTAATTATTGTTTTCTCTTTCTTCTTGCCTCATGATGATTTTAAGAAAATTAAAAATATTGTCTATGCCTATGTTCCTCTGTTCCTTTGCTTAGATGTTATAAAGTTTTTCTTGGAGTTGATAAAGGTTACAATTATTTTTTAGGAAATGTTAAAGAGAGCTAAAAATACTTTGTTTGAGTGTACAGAAAACAAACAGTACAAAAAAATTGACAACACAGTTTACATTTTTAAAAATATACATGATCAATGTTCACTTAAACAATATGATTGGCTTTGTTTTACTCGATAAATATTTTTTTTAAAGATGTTGAATATATACCATTGTACATGCGTTTTCCTTTCCTTTGTCAAAAGAAGTTGCCTTTTCTTTTCCTTTAGACATTGCCTTGGCCTTTTCCTTTTCCTTTGCCTACCAAAAATAAATAAAATTTATTTAGAATACAAAAAAGAACATGTATTTATAGAATTTATTAAGATTACGAAAAAAGAACATTTTGAACTTGATATTTATACTTACCTTAGAATTGCGGATAATATTAAGATTGCACTCATCACGAATAACAACACCGATATTCCTAGTCTCATGGAGCAATGGGTTTGCATGAGTAGGCCTACAAATATTTGTTGTGTACAAAATAAAATTTGTTAAATAAAATCTTAACAATAAGAATATGTATTTGTAGAATTAAATACAATGTTTTACCAATTCCTTTGTGAAGCTAAAGATGTGCTTGGCGAAGGTAGATGTGTAAACATTACTGCTTTCTGAGCCGGTGGAGTATTAGTTGTGCTTGGTGGAATCCATTCTCTCGATCTTTCTCGTTCACGTCGCAAACGTTGTCCCAATTGATATGAAGAGCTTGCCTTATCATTTCTTTTGCGTTCTCGTCGTGCACGTTGAGCCAATGCAGCTTTCGATATAACATTATTGTTATGTGCCTAAAACATGAAGATTAATTTCATAAGATGCCTAAATTTTATCATCTACTGTTTTATACTTTTGTCTTCATTTTTCATTTCTATTAATTTACTTTATCTTAATTCCCTTTCCTTCTGATATTTTGTAAAAAAATTGAAAACTTTTTCATTCTGTATCCCTCCTCCCCTCATTTTGTTTTTGTTCTATTCCTTTTTTATTCTCTTATAGATGTTCATGTCAATAGCAAAAAGCCAAAAAAGAATAATAATAATTTAAAACAAATATAATGTTTTTTGTACAAATGCTATTTTAGCATGCTTCAAAAAAAACATTTCACAAATTTATATGAAATTGTTTACTATAAGAACAGTATATGTCACTATGCAAGTAGTATGTCAATTTTACATTTAAAAATAAATAAATAATCAAGGTTCATGGTCCAAAATAAATATTTCAAAAAAAAGAACTTTAAATGGAAATGTTGAAGAGGCATACTACTGAACATGCATTTTCCTTTCCCTTGCCCGAAACGGTGGTCTTTTCGTTTTTCTTCAACAATGCCTTGGCAATTTCTTTTTCTTTTGCCTACAAAAAAAAAATTTAAAGAATAAAGAAAATATATATATGTAGAAAGTTTTTAAAAAATATATAAATAAGAATATACGGTGTATACGGTGTTTTGAATGAAAAAAAAAAATCGCTATAATTAAATTGGGCCTACCTCTCGAACACGGATGACATTAAGGTCATGCTCATCATGGATAACAACATTAACATTTCTTTCTTGAAGAAATTGGACCTAAAAATACAAAAGAATTAGAGGTAAAAAAAATAAAAAAAATTATACATGTAAGAAAATGAGTAAAAGGAATCAGTATTACAGTTCGACGTAGGTCTCCATCCATCTGTAAATTATAAGAAAAGAGAACTTTGTTATAAGAAATTAGATAAAAAAAATTATGAAAAGAAAAGAAAATTGACTTTTGCTTATAAGAAAAATGTTTTTTTTTTTCAAATAAATAAAAAAGAAACTTTTGCTTATAAGAAAAATGTTTTTTTTTTTCAAATAAATAAAAAAGAAAACAACTTACGTGACCAAAAATAGTAATGTTGTTCATAATTAGCGGTTGAAGGTCAATGGTGTCTCAACCTGAAAGTGTCAGGTTATGTTAATTTGACAAAGATAACAGTATGAAGGCAAAATGAGGTTTAATAATTGCCATAAAGAAAAATTAATCGTTACAAAATTAACAACCTCCTAACATATTTTAGTTAACAACCTAGTTTAAGAAGTTAAATTATGCATGAATATCACAGATGGAGAAATTGAACTACTACAGGATAGAAGAAAATTATAATTTTTTTATATCTTCAATATGCATTAAAAAGGATAGAAGAAAAATTAAATACTCTCATAGAAATCTTCATAATTTTTCTCTATTGACCAAAATGTAGAACTATAGCAATACATGATTTTGTGGTTGATTCTATATAGCAACTTTGCACTGACAAAGGTTAATTCTTATGGATTGTATTGCCCATTTTTCCTACTAACAACTAAGTAAATTATAAAAAAAATATAAATTATACTAATGAATAAAATTTTAGCAAAACTTAATTACAGAAATTTAATTACTAAATTTGCATTTTAAAATGTGAAAATGAAAAATAAGTAAAAAACTACAATAAAAATTTATAAAAGGGCTCACCACACTGTA